TCCCTGAGATACAATACTGAAATTAGGTCAATTATCCCCACAAGAGCCTATAAGGGTCCAAGTGAATGGAAGACTTGCCCATTTTTTACTTTAAATCAAAAGCTAGAATGATTAAGCTGAGTGAAAGCATGTCAAAAGCCAAGCTACGGTGAAAACTTCCAGCTAAACAGTTAGCCAAGTCGTGAATGCAAAGAAAAAGTTCCTGAAGGAAATTAAAAGTATGACTCCAGTGAACACAGAAATGTTCAAAAGCAAAACAGCTTTATTCCTGATGTGGAAAAAGTTTTAAGAACAGAAGATCAAACCAGCCACAATATTTCCTTAAGTCAAAGTCTAGTCCAGATCAGGGCCCCAACACTATTCAATTCTATGAAGGCTGAAAAAGGTGAGGAAGCTATAAGTGGAAGCAGTGACAGATTTCATTTTCTTGGGCTCCAAAATCACTGTGGACGGTGACTGCAGCCATGAAAGTTAACACTTGCTCCTTGGAAGTAAAGCTATGACAAAACTAGACAGCATATTAAAAAGCAGAGACACTTTGTGAGAGCTGGACCATAAAGAAGGCTGAGCACTGAAGAACTGATGCTTTCAAATGGTGGTGTTGGAGAAGACTCTTGAATAGTCCCTTGGACTGCAAGGAGATCAAACTAGTTAATCCTAAAGGAAATCAACCTTGAATATTCACTGGAAGGACTGCTGCTGAAGCTAAAGCTTCAATACTCTGGCCACCTGATGCAAAGAGCCACCTCACTGGAAAAGACCCTGATCCTGGGAAAGACTGAAGGCAAAAGGTGAAGGGGGTGGCAGAGGATGAGATGGTTAGATAGTATCACCGACTCAATGGACATGAATCTGAGCAAACTCTGGAAGAAAGTGAAGGATGGGGGAGTCTGCATGCTGCAGTCCATGGGGTAGCAAAGAGTGGGCCAGGACTTAGTGACTGAACAACAGCAGAGGTTGGTTCACGAGGTTTAAGGAAAGAAGCTGTCCCTATAACATAAAAGTGCAGGGTGAAACAACAACTACTAGTTGCACCAAGTTATCCAGAAAATTTAGCTAAGGTAATGAAGGTGACTATACTAAACAACTGATTTTCCATGTAGACAAAACAGCCTTCTTTTGAAGAATGCCATCTAGAACTTTTATAGATATAGAGAAGAAAGTCAATGCCTGGCTTCAAAGGACAGGCTTACTCTGCTAGAGGCTAACATAGCTGGTGACCTATGGTTAAAAATCAAAGCTCATTTACCATTCTGAATATCCTAGGACCCTTAAGAATTATGGCTAAATCTACCATGCTTGTGTTCTGTAAATGCAACAACAAAGCTTAGAAGACAGAACATCTGCTTACAACAAGTTTTATTGTATATCTGAAGTCCACAGTTGAGACCTACCACTCAGAAAAAGATTCCTTTCAAAATATTACTGCTCATTTAACAACACACCTGGTCACTTAAGTAAGCTCCCTGATGCAGATGTACAAGATTAATGTTTTCATGCGTGCCAACACAACATCCACTCTGCAGTCCATGGAGCAAGGAATGAGCTTTACTTTCAAGTTTTATTATTTAAGAAACACATTTTGTAAGGCTATAGCTGTCATAGACAATGATTCCTCTAATGAATCTGGGCAAAGTCAGGTGAAAATGTTCTAAAAATAATTCATCAATCTAGATGCCGTTGAGAATATTCATGATTCATGAAAGTGAAAGTCGCTCAGCTGTGTCCAACTCTGCAACCTCAGACTGTACAGTGCATGGAATTCTCCAGGCCAGAATACTGGAGTGGGTAGCTGTTCCCTCCTCCAGGGTATCTTCCCAACCCAGGGATCAAAACTAGGTCTCCGGCATTGCAGGCAGATTCTTAACCAGCTGAGCCACCAGAGAAGCCCATTCATGATTCATGGGAAGAGATCAAAACAGCAACAGAAACAGAAATTTGGAAGAAACCAATTCTAACCCTCATGAATGACTTTCAGGGGTTCAAGATATCGGTGAAGAAGTAATTGCAAATATAAAAGAAATAGCAAGAGAACTAGAAGTGGACCCTCAGACGTAACTGAATTGCTGCAATCTCTGGTGGCTCAGATGGTAAGGAATCTGCCTGCAATGCGGGAGGCACAGGTTCCATCCCTGAGTTGGGAAGATCCCCCAGAGAAGGGAATGGCTACCCCTCCAATATTCCTGCCTGGAGAATTCCACAGACAGAGGAGCCTGGCAGGCTACAGTCCACTGGGTTGCAGAGTCGGACACAACTGAGGAACTAACACTTTCAGTTTCAGGATAAAACTTCATCATTAAAGAGTTGTTCCTTAGGAATGAGCGAAGAAAAGTTTCTTGAGATAGAATCTACTCCTGGTAAACATACTGTGAAGATTGTTGAAAAGACAACAAAGGACTGAGAACATTACACCAACTTAGTTGATAAATAAGGGGCAGTGTATGAGAGAACTGATTTTAATACTGAAAGAAGTTCTACTGTGGGTAAAATGCTATCAAACAGCATTGCATTACAGAGAAATCACTCATGAGAGGAAGAGTCAATCAATGCTGCAAACTTCCTTTTTGTCTTATATTAAGAAATTACCAGACACGCCACCCTTCAGCAACCAACACCTTGAACTATCCTTCGCCATTAACATCAAAGCAAGACCCTCCACTATCAAAAAGATTATAACTCTCTGAAGGCTCAGATGATAGTTAGCAATTTTTAGCAATAAACCATTTTTCAAGATATGTTTATTGTTTTCTTAGACATAATGCTATTGCACATTAAACACTACAGTATGGTGTAAGCATAACTTTAAATGCACTGGAAAACCCCAAAATCTGTATAACATGCTGAGATACTTGCTTTATCACAGCAATCTGGAAACAAACTTCAATAACTCCAAGGTATGCCTATACTGCTCTAGTTTTCTTCATAATTTACCACTTTTTGAAATTATATTTGTTCACTTTTCCTGCCACCAAAACATGCTTTATGAGGACAAAGATTTGGTTTATCTTATTAACAACTGCATTCCTCACATCTAGACATCTGGTATATAGTAGACACTCTAGAAATACTTGTTAAATGAGTCAGTGAAACAAACTTGAAGGAGATTTAAGAGATAATAATAAATACTAACCAAAATAGAGGGAAAACAAGGACTCCCCTGGCGGTGCAGTGGATAGGAATCCACCTGCCAATGCACACCAGGTTAGATCCCTGGTATGGAAATATCCCACATGCCGAGAAACTAAACCCATGCACCACAATTATTGAGCCTATGCCCTAAAGCCCAGGAGTTACAACCACTGAGCCTATATGCTACAACTCCTGAAGCCCCGGCACCTAGTCTGTGCTCTATGAGAAGCCACCACAATGAGAAGCCCGCACAAGGGAGAGAAGAGTAGCCCCCACTCGCCGTGATTACAGAAGTCTGAAAGCAGCAAGGAAGACACAGTGCAACCAAAAATTAAATAATCAAATCACATATAAAAAAAGAATCAAAACAAAATGGAACAGAAGGAAAGCTAATAAAACATGAGCTGATGAGAAAAATCCCTTTGGGTTTAAGAAGTTTTTGTTGGAAACTCAAGAGGGTATACACTATTTCTTGAGGTTCCTACAAATCTTCATGTCCTAACACTAAGTCACAGACTTACTTTCACAAAATTCCACTTGGCCCTGCAGAAAAAGCAGCAGATGGGGGAGTTAAGAGACTGGGATTCCAGATCCAGCCCTGTCATTAACTTGCTTTCTGACTTTTAGCAAAATATTGCTATTTCCTTCCGGTGCAGACTCGGTTCCCTCTTGCCAGAGTACTCACGCTCTGAGAAGGGACTCTTGTTTCGCTGCTGCATCCTATATAAAGAAATGCTGGGCCTGGGCAGTTGTTTAATAACTATTTGAGTAAATCAACGAGCGGACAAAATGAGGACGCTGCACTCTGAATCTTTCTTGTGAATAAATACACTCCAAATGAATTTAGTTCAGCGAACACTTTCGTATTCATGTCCTGAGTTGCCTGTCCTAAAAAAGTCATTTGTTTCCCGACACCACACTATACTGCGCGTCTGGAACACGTGGTCTGTAAGTATGGTTTGCCTAATAAATTAACAGGTGAAATGGAAGGAGAAGGGGGCGGTATTTCGGTTCTAAAATGAGTAAACTGAGGACAAACGAAGTAACTGCACCCCACCACTCGCGGAAACAGGAGCTGAAGCTCCTGAACTCAGAACCCTCACGCACTTTCTCGTCCTTTCCCTGGTAAGGCTCAGGGCCACGGTCCCGTCTTAAGTTCATCATTCTCAGTTCCTCTCCTTACTTTCTGTGAGCATGACCCACGGTCTAACCTTCCGCTTTACCTGAATCGAGACCAAAATTCTCTGCGTGGCGCCCCTGAAGCTACTGTGAGGCTTTTTCTGGCAACGCCGGCCACCCAGAGCGCCGCCATCTTCGGGGAGAGCTTGGTGACAGAGCTCCACCCCCAGGCGGCAGCGGCACGCGAAGATCAGCCAATAAAATGTAAGCTTAGTGGCATGTGTCCTTTTCCGGTTGAGACTAACCCAGGCTCCCTCGCGTTTTGCACTCCGGGAAGCGTAGTTCGGTAGCCGTGGCCGTGGCAGGCTGGACCACAGCGCTCTCTCAGAGCATGACGGGAGTTGTAGTTGAGGGGCGTCCCGGGAAGGTTCCCGGTGACGCCTTCTGGTCCGGGGGCGGGCGGTCACAGCGCTCTTTGGCTGAAAGCAGCAGGAACTGGCGACCGGGAGGAGGCTCTAGCGAGGCCTGGAAGGCTGCACAGCCAGGCAGGGGAGGGGGTGCGGGGTGGGGGCGGCCGAGTAGCGCGTCTGACAGGCTGCTGAGGTCGTGACCGCTCGGGGCAGGACCTGGCCAGATCCAGCCTAGAGGCCTCGCTTTCTTCAGGCCTAATATTCAGCGGCCGGGTAGGCCTTGCCAGAGCCTCCTTTTCGTGCGGCCACCCGGGGTTCCTGCCCTGATTTTCTGTCTGAGAGATGGCCTCGCCGAGTCCCCCGCCAGAGCCAAAGGTAAGTCGCCCCTCCGAGTATCCCCGTTCTCTCGCCTTTACCTAGCTCGCTAGGCCGCGCCACCGCCCCCACCCCCCTTCTCGGGTCTTTGGGGCCAGCGCGGTGCAATGAAGTACCCCCTAATGTACTGGGGAGCCCTTCGCCATCTCACTGCCCAGTGGCTCCTTTTTTCAAGAGCGACTTGATAAATCTAAAGAAAATTAGTAATGCTCCAAACCAGCGTTTCCATTTATGAGTTCTTCCAGGTGAAGTTAGCTTTGTTCATCCTCCCTGTGTCTTCTACACCTGCCCCATGCCTGGACCCAAAGTAGACGCTTAGAAAAATTAACATAATTAAGTTGAAAAGAGTCATGATTTGAGTTGGAACGGGGCGAGGAGGTGCAGGAAACTTGGGAAGGCCTTAGTGCAGCTTACTAAAATTAAACTATTAGGGCATAGGGGTAGACCTTATCCTCAGGCTCCTCAGTACAGAGGACAGAGATCCAGCTGTGTTTTGCTCTTTGAGGTGTCCGAATTCTGTCGGTTCCCGGAATTGAGCCCCATTCGTAACTCTTAGTTATCATGTTCCTCCTAGCCTACCCGGCCCTGATAAGTGGTTGTTTCTGCTACTTTCAGTGGTAGAATTGTCCTTGAGACAACAAGAACTGACTACAGAAATCATACTATTTCAGGGCTTGCTGACATTTGAGGATGTGGCTGTGTTTTTTACCCAGGAGGAGTGGGATTATCTGGATCCAGCTCAGAGAAGCCTGTATAAAGATGTCATGATGGAGAATTATGGAAACCTGGTCTCACTGGGTAAGAATCTGCTGTTTCTTGGATCAAAATAGCTAAGAAACTGTAAGAAAGCAGAACACATGAGCTACTACCATACCAGATTGCTTTGTTCCAAGGCTCCAATTCAGACCTTTCACCCATGAATTGTTTCCATGGCTCTCATCCCTACCGTCCTTGCAGTGACCAAAATACAAGCTTTTCTGGCTTCCATCCGCTTACTCTCATTCCCATATTGCTCTGTACTTTTCCCTCCTAGCTTATCCTCCTACTGCTTTCCTCCCACCCTTTTCACTCTGCCTTCTGGAGCCCCTGTTTCTCTTCACATGGTGTTCCCTACCCCTCCTGGCCTTAACTGAAACCTGGCAATTTCCCAAGGACACTACTTCTCTGGCAGAGGCGGCTTATTCTCCCACATCCTCTTCCTTCCCCATCCTTTGTCTCGGGGCTGAAAGGGAAAAATAATTGTTCTCCTAACTTTTCAGTACTGTTCCCAAAGCATTAGTTTTCCACTTTCAAATGTAATTTCTCTTTTGAGGTCTCAGCTGTCTTGCTCTACCCTCTTAATTTCTTTTCACTATCATCTGTCAAATTTTTTTTTTTTTTTTGGTGTCTCACACATAGATTTTGTCACATTTCGGAATCTTCTCTTTGTTAACCCACACCATCCATCATACAGTCATTACTTCTGCCTCACTGTATCTTCAAGGACCCTGATTTTCCATTCTTATTAAGCACCTCACATCAATGATCACACCCTCAATTTTGTTATAACAGGCAAATTTTAAACCCCCGTATCTTGTATTTTGACTAATACCTTATTCTTTCTCAGGCAGTAGATGTTTATTGACTATAACTAAACAAGTCAACAAAACAGACACGATCCCTGCTATGTCTGCTAAGCTCCATGTGGAGCTTACTGTAACTTCCTACCTGTCTACCTCTTCTCCTCCTTTCCTACTGAACCTATTTATTCTTAATCTTTCCTGTTCCTTGACTTCCTTTCTCCCCCCCCCACCCCAGGCTCTTAGTTCCCTCCTGCTTCACCTTCTCATCTAACCCATAGCTGCTGCTGCTGCTAAGTCACTTCAGTCGTGTCCGACTCTGTGCGACCCCATAGACGGCAGTCCACCAGGCTCCCCTGTCCCTGGGATTCTCCAGGCAAGAATACTGGAGTGGGTTGCCATTTCCCTCTCCAATGCATGAAAGTGAAAAGTGAAAGTGAAGTTGCTCAGTCGTGTCCGACTCCTAGCGACCCCATGGACTGCAGCCTACCAGGCTCCTCCGTCCATGGGATTTTCCAAGCAAGAGTACTGGAGCGGGGTGCCATTGCCTTCTCCGCTAACTCATAGACCTATACATAAAATGATCACCAGCATGCTTTCTTGCTACTCTGTCATCATGTTCTACCCATTCTACATCTTGAAGTCCTGTACTGGTTATAAAATCTGCCTTTTTCTGTTACCTGATTTGCTGAACACAGCAAGAGAAGTTCTGTAACTGAAAGAATTGATACCCTGCATATATACAGGTGGTTTCCTTCTGGATATAAAAACCACTGGGTTTATATAGCTCAGCAAATTTTTTATCATTGATTTGCTCCTACCCCTGTTACTTTTAGTGACTATTTCAGAAACTTTGAGTTTTCCTTGGGTTCATCACTCAGTGGTGGACCTTACCTTCTGTTTCACGGAGAAGATAAGAGACTACCACACATGAACTCTCAAGTTTTCTACCCCTCATTGCACATGTAAGATTGCACATTCTCCAAGAACTTATCAGTCTCCCCCCCCCCACCCCACCCCCATGTAATTTTAGTCTCTATTCTTTCTACCCTGGCACCTTTATTCTGATGATGGGTATGTTCATGGCGCCAGAGCTCTCCTTTGAGCCAGAGTCCTTCTTGCTGCTCCTGTAACCTACTACTTGTTTGCTTCACAGCCAGATTTTTTAAGAGTGGTTAATGTATATTCTCTACTTCTTTACTTCCATTATCTCTAAGCTGCTTTCTGTACCTCTGCCACTTACCTTCAGTTGTTTAACATTTGTCAATAATGGCCCAGTTGTCAAATACAGTAGATTCTTTTGGGAATATATTTAATTTCATTTCTTTATAGATATTTGAAACTCTTTATTGCTTCCTTCTATTTCTTTGCATTCTCAGACTTTTCTCAGTCTATAAACCTACCTTAGCAGATCTTATTTACATTCAGGTCATCAAGAATGTGATGATAAGTCTCAAATCTTTATCTCTACTTAAGTAGAGAGAAAATATGGAGCCTAACTGCCTTAAAAAAATCCCAATTCTACTACTTACAAGACTTGTGACCATGGGTGAATTACTTAACCTTTCTGTGCCTGTTTTCTTTTTTTATATAAAAATGGAAATAATAATAGTACTTACCTCTTAGGATTATTGTGAGCATTAACTCAGTTAATACATGTAAAGCATTTAGGACACTGACAAGCACGTGTTAAGTAGAATGTATGAATGTCAGTTGTTACCTTCATCATCATTGTCATTATCTTCTCTGTTGAACTCCAACTTCTTAGTCATCTCCTTTGAAGACCACATAAGTAACTCACATCTGGCAGATCTCAAATTATCTACTAAGATATAAGGGCCTCCTCTTCAGAATTCAGTATTCCATTCTCTGTGCTGTCTGTTATACACTTCCATTATTGAATTTATTATAGTGTTCCATAATCATTATGTTATTTCTCTAAGCAGACTGATCTTCAGGAGGATAGTAACTGTATTCTTTCATTTGATTTCTCCAGGACTTAGCATAGAGCCAGGCATATATTATATGCTTCTTAAATATTTGGGTGACTGAGTGAGTATACTTAAGACTCAGTATCTTTTGACAAGATGATTGCACTAGCTCGTAATCGAGCCCCTTGGCCTCCAGTCTCCCTTTCTTCTAATATATTCTCTTTATTGCTACCAAAGTGATTTTGTGTTAGTTAATTGCTTACAACTTCTGGTGATTTCTGACACCTTAAAGGATAAAAAAAAAAAACTTAATTTCTTGTCCTGTATACTAGAACCACCTTATGTAGCTCCCGTGTAGCTTTCTAGCCTCATCTGTTGTTTTCAGCATACGACTTCAGTCTCCAGCCATATCAGATGCTAGGTTTTTTTTTTCCATTATGCTATGATATCTCTGAGTCACTGACAGCTTTTTCCACCCATATGGTGTCCTGGTTGATAATATCAGGCGAATGCGAGCCTCGCCTATGCCTGGTACTGTAAAATGGCAGTGAGCCCATCTGTGATCTCCTGCTTTCAGGCTCTCTTCTTTATTGTAGCTGAAATAACAGCTTTTCATGAGTTATTATTTCTTCCTCCACAATCTTTTCATCTTCCTGTATAAATTCTGTATCTACCCCCTTGATTTGTGCTCCCTTGATGAGAGACTATGATTACTCAACTATTCCAGTGTAGTGTTTTCTGGTATTTCATTCTGTTACTCTACTTAACACAACTCGTCTAGCTTTGTAATTTTGCCTCTTCAGTCATACCTGTCCTTTCCATGCTGATTTTTCTTTAAAAACTGCAATAACTACGTTGATGACAGCTTGATCTCTCAGTTCTTGACCTTTCAGTTCTTTCAATTGAAATAGACTTCTTCAGTTTTGATAACTTCTCTCCAGACTGCTAGAGCCAGATTGGACCTTAGTATCTTTCCAAGTATTTATTCAACTGCTCATTCATTCAATAAATAATTATAAAGCATTGTGCTTGGCCTAAAAATGCAAGTCCTTCCCCATTCTCTCATTGTTTTGTTTTGTTTTTTTTCCTAGAAAACTGAGAGAACTGCACTTTGAGGCACCTGTTTACTCTAGAAAAATTAGCTATGACCAGAGGATGGGAACATGCAGTACAAGCATGGCAGGTACCTCAGAAGGTGGTTATAGCCCCCAAGCCCAGGTCTAATGGCTAGTCCTTTCCAGGCTGCTCTGTTTGGAAGCCTAGATTCACTTGTTTTACATGTCTCTCTGTTTGACCTGTTTGTTTTCATGCTAGTGCCTCTGTGTTTTATTTACTTTAGCAATATATCATATTTCATGTCTGGTAAGATGAAGTCACTCTTACGTTCTCTTTCAAGTTATACAGTTGACCCTTGAACGATACTGGTTTGAAATGTGAGAGTCCACTTGTTCATGAATTTTTTTCACTAAATACATACTAGAGTACTACACAATCTGCAATCAACTGAATCCGTAGGTGCAAAACCATGGATGTGGAGGGCCAACTGTAAAGTTATATGTACATCTTCAACAGAGTGGAGGATCAGTGCCCCTAACCTTCATGTTGTTCAAGGGTCAGTTGTACTTAACTAGTTTTCTGCATTCTTCCAGTTGAAATTTAGATTCATTGGGGTTTTTTAATTGGTTCATGGGATTTTGGTTTGGATAGTTAAGTTGTTAGTTGGTTTGGGAAGAAGTAAGAGCCTTATAATGTTGACTCTCTTTGGCAATTGGTTGATTCTAGTTAACTGTCTTATGTCCTTCAGAAAAATTGTATGGATTCTTTTATGGATCTTGCATTTCTTGTTAGATATATTCCTAGGCTTTATGGTTTTTAATATCATGAAGAGCATATTTCTTTGCTTATAATATTTATTAACTAGTTATTCTTGGTAGTAAGAACCAATATTTGTTTCATATCTTAGTCCTTTCATAGCTATTATATTTCATTTAATTCTTTTAGGAATTTTGGGTAGGGGGTCATTGTTGTTCAGTTGCTAAATTGTGTCTGATTCTGCAACCCCATGGACTGCAGCATGCCAGGCTTCCCTGTCCTTCACTGTCTCCTAGAATTCGCTCAGATTCATGTCCATTGAGTTGGTAGTGTCATCTAACCATCTCGTCCTCTGCCACCCATTCTCTCAGAATTCTCCACTGTGACTTGTCGGTCTTGGGTGGCCCTGCGTGGCATAGCTCATAGCTGCATTGAGTTGTGCAAGCCCCTTTGCCTCAACATAGGTGTGCTCTGTGAAGGGGAGGTGGTCATATCATCTGCAAATAATGTGATTGTATTACTCCTTTGAGTGAAACCCTGGAACATATCCACTGAGTAAATATTATGAAGAGACTTTAACACAAAGTCTCAGAAAGAACTTGTAATCCAATGGAAAATACAAACTGAAGTACAGTGTAATAATAGCTATAGTGCAGTTATGGACAAGGGATGGTTATCAAAAACAACATTTAAATCATCTAGTGGATTAAGCGAAGGCTTTATAGAGGAACTATTGCATTGCATTGAATTTTAAAAAGAAACCAAGAAATTCCCAAGTAAACAATGTCAGTGGATATTTCTTAAATGAGATATGCAAAGAACTATCATAAATGACTAAAGCATAAGCAATTTACCCACTTAAAGTGTGAGAGCATGGGAAGGAGAGTGAGTTGAAGTTTAGAGACCTCAAGAAGTACCGAGTATCATAGTATAGAGAGATTTGGTTTGATTTTAGAGATAATAAGATCTGTAGGTGGTGACATGATTAGAATTCCATTTCATGACAGATCTCTGGATTCAATGAAATAGATGCAACCTAAAGACCAGAGCCAAAGATTATTAGATGTCTTTTGCAGTAATCTATGGAAAACAGAGAGGGCAAATGCTGAAGAGTAGAATCATTGATTTTGGTGATTGATTAATAGTAAGAAAAAGGGAGAAATCTAGAATGATTTCCTGCTGTGGGACTGTAGGGTGATGGACAGTTAATGCTTCCTAAAGGAACATGATTAAAGGTGGAGATAGACAGGACAACAAATGATGATAGTCATGTTATTTGTGAGACCTTTTTGAGACAGCTTAGTGGCAATATTAAAGTGTGTATATAGAGCAAGATGAGGATATAAACATGGATAAAATATCCTTAAACAATGAGGAGAAGAGACATGCATGTGGGAAATGTATTAGAAAAGGCCAAATAAGAAGTAGGAAGAGAACTAGAATACAATAGCATAAAAACCGAAAATAGTATAAAGAAATGGGAGTAGTCAACAATATCACATGCTGCAAGTAAAATAAGGACTAAAAAATGTCCATTGCATTTGTTACTTGAAAGTCATTGGTGATTTAATGAGAAGTTTCTCTAGATACTAGAAACAGAAACCAGATTTTATAATAGATTATTGAGTAGGTTGAATGGGAAGAGATTGAGTGTGGAAAACTTAGTTAGAAATTGGAGAGGTACAGTGTTAAGATTTTTTTTTTCAAAGCTTGGATTTCATCTAGAAAAGGATTTCGGGTTCAAGATAAAGTTGGGTATATTTTGTATGTTGGTAAGAAGGTGTATGTAGAATTCTATGGAGAATACAGATTGAAGAAAGAGAAAGAAATGGTAATTGAACAAGTGCCCAGAGGCAAGTGGGATCGAGAGAGTCGATGACTTAGCCTTGGATAAGAATGGGATATATCTTCATGTAGCAGTGCAGGTAATTTTAGGTAGGAGGCAAATTGGTGAGGCAGTTCTCATCCTTTTTCTTTCAGTGAAAGAAAACACTGTCTACTGAAAATGAATTTGAGAGACTGCACTGTAAGTAACCTTAAGTAAAAATAAAGTTTCTTAGGGAAATAAGAGGGGTTTTTTTTTTTAATAAAATAATGACTGGTTTGAAGTAAGTGAAAAGAAAATTCAAAGATGACTCCACAGTTAGAATATTATAAAACTGAAAGAAAAAAGGAAGTATAAAAAAGGAAAAATTGTTAGGGTCAAATAGGAATTTAGTGATGACTGAATCTTCTCATGGAGTTATCCACCAGGCAGCAAGAGATAGAAAATCAGGAAAGAAGTCAGAGGCATACTTAAGTGTTACATATGCTGCTCTGTTTTATTATAGACCATTATGTTATCTTTCTTCCAGTGCATGCAAGTTTATCATTTCTCAGATGTCATGTAGACTCCCAGTTGGAAATGGATAGTTCCAACGCGGGTCTTATATCTTTAGAGGAATGAGACTCATCTGTATTTGAAGAATGTGGTATCTGTGGTAGGTGAAGTCATGAACTACCACAGACTATTCTTTTTCCTAGTTTCTTCCATTAGCTCTAAACATGTTCTTTTTTTTTCCCCTGTTTTTCTATATAATAGAGTCCATGTCACTTCAACTCAGTTTTTTTAAAGCCATTTATCTCCATATAAGAACTATTTTACTTAATATCTTCTTTGTCATATTCTATTCTTTCCCTGTTTGTACTTATTAGCTATTCCACTTGGTAAGAGGCTTCTTGCCTTATCTCTAAATTCTAATTCATTATATTAATACAATGCCTGGAATGCTTTTATTCACAATAAATTCTTATTAATGAATGAATTGTTGTTTCCTCTGGTTTTTGTCTGTTTTCCTTCAGCATCATTTTATGTGTTCTTTTCTGTTCAGTTATTTGGCTTATTCACATTACAGTAATGCTACTTCATCCTAAGTTTTTCTGAACCTACTGTTTTCTTTCCACATTGTCCTTTCTTTCCTGAAAGCTAGTTTATCCTACCATTACTTAATTTCTTTGTTACCCTTTCTTTAAGAAAAGCATTTCATTTTATCAGAAAACTAACAGTAAATAATATTTATATAGCTTGTACTGTTTGCCAGGTAGTTTTAAATACTTTATGTGTTTGAACTAATGTAATCACAAAGGTGCTATGATACAGTGAACTACATTTTATGTACATAGTAGATTAATTTAATTATCTTATGACAGTTTCTTCTTTCTGGCAAAGAACTAGGCTGACATTTCTTTCTTCCATTTATTCCAGATGTTTTGAACAGAGATAAGGATGAGGAGCCAACTGTGAAACAAGAAATTGAGGAAATTGAGGAAGAAATGGAACCACAGGGTATAATAGTTACAAGAATCAAAAGTGAAATTGACCAGGATCCCATGCATAGAGAAACCTTTGAACTTGTTGGTAGGTTAGATAAACAAAGAGGAATCTTCTTATGGGAAATACCAAGGGAATCTTTGACCCAGGAACAAAGAATGTTCAGAGGAAACACTAACATTATCCGTAAGAGACCAAATTCAGAAGAGAAATGTCATAAATGTGAAGAATGTGGAAAGGGTTTTGTCCGCAAAGCTCATTTCATTCAACATCAAAGGGTCCATACTGGAGAGAAACCTTTCCAATGTAATGAATGTGGGAAAAGTTTTAGTCGCAGTTCATTTGTTATTGAACATCAGAGAATTCATACCGGGGAAAGGCCCTATGAGTGTAATTACTGTGGAAAAACCTTTAGTGTGAGCTCAACCCTTATTAGACATCAGAGAATCCACACTGGAGAGAGACCTTATCAGTGTAATCACTGTAAACAGAGCTTCAGCCAGCGAAGAAGCCTTGTTAAACATCAAAGGATTCACACAGGTGAGAAACCCCATAAATGTAGTGACTGTGGCAAAGCCTTCAGTTGGAAGTCACACCTGATTGAACATCAGAGGACACACACTGGTGAGAAACCCTATCACTGTACCAAATGTAAGAAAAGCTTTAGTAGAAATTCGTTACTTGTTGAACATCAGAGAATTCACACTGGGGAAAGACCCCATAAATGTGGTGAATGTGGGAAAGCCTTTAGATTAAGTACATATCTTATACAACACCAAAAAATCCACACTGGTGAGAAACCTTTTCTTTGTATTGAGTGCGGAAAAAGCTTCAGTCGGAGCTCATTCCTTATCGAACATCAGAGGATCCATACAGGTGAAAGACCTTATCAGTGCAAAGAGTGCGGGAAAAGCTTCAGTCAACTTTGCAACCTTACTCGTCATCAGAGAATTCACACAGGGGACAAGCCCCATAAATGTGAGGAATGTGGAAAAGCCTTTAGTAGAAGCTCAGGTCTTATTCAGCACCAGAGAATCCACACCAGGGAGAAGACTTATGCATACACTGAAACCAAGGAAAGTTTTGACCCAAATGGTGGTCTTGTTATACAACAGGAAGTCTACCCTAAGGAAAAATCTTATAAATGTGATGAATGTGGGAAAACTTTCAGTGTCAGTGCTCATCTTGTGCAACATCAAAGAATCCACACTGGTGAAAAGCCCTACCTATGTACTGTATGTGGGAAAAGCTTCAGTCGGAGCTCATTTCTTATTGAACACCAGAGAATCCACACTGGTGAGAGACCCTATCTGTGCAGACAGTGTGGCAAAAGTTTTAGTCAACTTTGTAATCTTATTCGACATCAGGGCGTTCACACAGGTAATAAACCCCATAAATGTGATGAATGTGGGAAGGCCTTTAGCCGGAACTCCGGCCTGATTCAGCATCAGAGAATACATACAGGAGAAAAACCTTATAAGTGTGAGAAGTGCGACAAAAGTTTTAGTCAGCAGCGCAGCCTTGTCAACCATCAGAAGATCCATGCAGAGGTGAAAATTCAAGAAACCCATGAATGTGATGCTTGTGGTGAAGCCTTCAATTGCCGCATTTCTCTTATTCAGCATCAAAAATTGCATGCTACATGGATGCAGTAAATGTGGAGAAATACTTAAGTTCATTTTGACTTTAGATCAGGTACCCAAGTGCAGTTTCAGTATGGCTCAATGTGAGTCACACTTAGTGATCAAAGCAGATGCTCTTTGGCCTCAGGCACATGGTTTCTAAAGATTCTGTGAATAATGGGTAGCTGCCCACAGGCAGTTGAAGACTTCATTACTCTTCATTTTGATCAGAGAAAGACTCAGTAAATTTAAGCTGCCTTCCCCGCCCCCCCCCCCCCCCCCAGATCTCTCAGTGGAGAGGTTAAAGCCAAGTTCAGAGCACTTAATTATAATTAATAAAAGGGAGAAGAACAAAGTTGCATATGCCTACGGGAGTTGGAAGCAGCTGATGTTAGAAAACTTAGTCCTCTGGCACCGAAATATATGGTGGTTCTTTCAGTTCCACAGTATGTTTGGCTGTGTATGCCAAAGTTCAGTGGTTAAGCATATGATTATGTTTTCAAGGGAACAAAGCCCCCATTTTTTTTTTTAAAGAACGGACATCCAAAGCTGTTGTCCTTGTTAAAGCCAGTTTGGCATGTGGGTTAAAGGCAGTTCCAATGCCATGTGGTTCCCAGATCTGTGAAATGAGTGGACCATTAATTTTATATGTAAAGATTATGTAACAAACCTAGCAAAGGTGTTACCAAGGAACCTTTGGGAGTGCCTTTTTTTTCCCCTAAGATGGGCCCAAAAAGGTGGAGGAAGACACTGTTCTTTTTATGCCCTCCGTTCTGTGAAAGAGATTTGTAGTCCTAGACAGATCTTATTCCTCTACTACCAGTAGCATGTGAAAGTGTAAATATTTTGATTACCAAGAGTTGGAAATAAAAAGACCTAGAGTCTATGCTAGGAAACAGATATTTTGGTATTGCTTTGGTTTTTATGGTAACTAGACTTTGCATGCAATCTTTATTTCTGGTTCTAGGTAGGGCTTCCTTTAGTTAATGGTTATTATAAACCTATTAATTCATCTGTTCTAGTCATTAAATCTGTTTTGTTTTTTGCTTTGTAAGAGTTTATTACTCCATTGTAAAACCTATCCTGTCAAATGCATTACTGCATTTAAAAATTAGAATCAAGAATTTAAATTGCTCTCATTTGTTCTACTTCTGACTAGTTACCTTTTCTGGGATAGTTCAATTGAGGTTAAATCTTTCATTCCTAATTCCAAATTACTAGCACACTGTTATTCCAGATTTCTTAATAGTTTTAAGCAAAAGACCTCATTTTCTCCTATAACCTAGACATTCTTGAAATCACCTCTAAATTTTCATCTTCCCACCTCTGAATATGCGTGTGTGTGTGTGTGTGTATGTGTGTGTGCACATGTAAGTGTGGATGTTATGGTGTGTGTAAAAATACACCTTTTTGTGCACTTCCTTATTCAAGTACTCATAGTTACCATACAGTTAACTGAACCGTTGACTATAGTTAACTGTTTGTACAAGTAAAAAGTAGAAAACATAACTGCTAATGCATTGTTCAGTAAAATTATCCTCCTACCCTAAATCGTCCCATTTTACTTTTTCTGCACCAGTAGTTCCCCAGCCCAGGTTCACAACTAATAATGAGGTTCTTAGACCTGTTCTCTGTTTTGAAAACCTAATGCAAAGTGTATTTTTGCTGCATGCACACTAAACATTTTCTCTGATTTTTGCTGAAGTTGCATTGTTTCATGTATGGTTATCTAGCTGAGCAGAAGTTCTGGCTGTCGACTTCACTGTAATTTGGGGCCATGGTGGTATGAAATATTTCCACTAAAAGTACATAATTTTTAACATACTTGAATATGAATCTTGAATCTTAGCTCCAAATTCCAGTAACAGAAATGGTTCTTATGTGTTCAGTTCATTGGCTACAAAAAAGTATAGCCAGAAAGGTTTTTGTTTTTGTTTTTAAGCAAGTCCACTGCAGTATACACTGCTTTTTTCAAAGAAAACGATAGAAATAGGCAGGGGAGTTTAGAGAGGGATATGAAGTTCGTAGAAGACCGGGAAGGAAAAAGTCGAATCTTCCAGGAGGAAATGACGCCTAAGATGAGACAAAGTAGAGTACTAGAAAAGGTGAATACTGTCTGAAGACAGAGTTGTGAGAGGATCTGGTAGCTACAGAGTGAACTCGTGATAGAAATGTGACAAGAGGCAAGACTGCCCATAAACAAGCATCATGCTTAAGAGACAGGACTTGATTTCTGCCTAAAATCCCGTGGTAATGTTTTCCTTCTATTTATGATATGTTGAGTAAGGACACATTTTAAGAATACAGCTCAGTGAGTTTTCACAAGTAAACCCCTAAGTAACTGGTACTCTGCTTAAGAAATAATACGGATACCCCAGATTCTTGTGTACCTTTTCAAATATACACACAACACATCTTGTGGTGCCTTCATTTTAACTTGAGGTGATGTGGAAATGAATAGGAGAGAAAAGAAAAGACTGGTTCTTGACCTTTCTTACATCTGGGGATCTTAACCTCAGAAAATTGCACAAAGTAAGGGTTTAAGGGTCTGTTGTTTCCATGTTAATTTCAAGAGTCTCCTAAGAATAGTACCGTTGAGACATTGTGGTGTCTTGAAGGCCAGATGAAAGAAGGATATGAACTTTAAAAATGTAGAGTAAAACTTGATTGCTAGTTGAATGAGAAAGGCTGAAGAAGAGTAAAGATTCAAGGTGGGTTTTGGTGGTTGGTACTCGGTCATGGGGGGGGGGGGGGCGGGGGAGGAAGGTCACCTGGTGTGGAATGAGGAGATTAATTACCGAAGTTTTTGAGCATGTAATGTTTGGTCTATCTGTGAGAGATGTCTAAAGATAATTGGAGATGTAGATATGGTGCATAGGGAAGATCTGGATTAGAATTTGATTTAGGAATTCACCAGTTCTCAGACACAGATATGAGTTAAGATTTAAGGAGAAAATAAGAAATCCAGAGCGGAATCCTGAAGTCCAGCCTTGTTTAGTGACTGGGAAAGAGTCAAAGGAGACTGAGAAACAGCCAGAAGTGTGGAAAACCCAGAGTGTGCATGCTCAGTCACTTCAGTCGTGTCCAACTCTTTGCGACCCTGTGGCCCATAGCCTGCCAGGCTCCTCTGTCCACGGGGTTCTCCAAGCAAGAATACTGGAGTCAGCTGCCGTGCCCTCCTCCGGGGAATCCCCAATCCCAGGACCAAACCCAAGTCTCACACCTGCGTTGGCAGGTGGGTTCTTGACCACTAGCGCCACCTGGGAAACCCAGGATAGAGTGATAGTTGGTACGGGGAAGTGACCTGGAAGAGTGCTGCAGAGATGTCAAAGGAGGGTTGACGGGTGTCCTTTAGATTGGACAATTAGAAAGTCGTTACTGCGTTCTGTAAGAGCAGCTTCTGAAATAGAGGAGAGCCAGTTTTCAGGGGCTTAAATAGTGTCTGAAGAGTACATCAATTCTCAAATGCTGTAAATTGATGGTGAAAAGGTAACTGTTCTACATTCCAATGGTAGAACAAGGACAATATAATGTCTTTGTAAAAAAGCTAAATTGATTCAAGACCTTAACCTTATTCTGAAATAATGCCCCTTTTTAAAAAAGTCCTTTCATGAAATAATAGTAATTTTGGTCTGTGACTATATGTCTTTAGTTTAAAAAAATGACAACCCTTTTTTGATTATTATTTTACTTGTCTGTAAAAGGTAACAAAAAGAAGGGAAAATTTTTAAAGAGAAAAATTGAGTATTTTTCCATTCTGAATAGATAACCAGTTGAGGGAGAAACTGAAGATGAGAGCAGCTGAAAATTGAATTATTAGATAAACAAAGATGAATTTTAGCACTAATGGAAGGATTTACTATAGCAGCTTTCTTCCTCCCAATTGGGAGAAAAGGAAAGAGTACAGATTTAGGGTCTGGCTGAGGGAAGAGAGGGCTTCTCTGCTGGCTCAGCTGGTAAAGAATCTGCGTGCAATTCAGGAGACCTGGGTTCAATCCCTGGGCTGGGAAGATCTGGAGAAGGGAATGGCTACCGACTCCAGTATTCTGGCCTAGAGAATTCCATGGACTGTATATAGTCCATGGGGTCGCAAAGAGTTGGACACCACTGAGCAACTTTCACTGAGGGAAGAGAAAGAAATGGAATACACTTGAGATGACCCATTTTCCAAAAATAGTACAATCCATGAGAGGGAAGGAAGAGGGGTGACTACCATGAGGAGTGGGGAAACTTGTCAATAGTGAAAGTTTTGAGTAGCCATTAGGGACAATGGGAAAGAACCAATCAAAAACTTGGGGAGGGTTTTGGGGTTTGTTTAGGGCCCAGCTGAAGTAAAAGGCTGACTTTTAATGTGTGTGCTCAGTCACTCAGTCTTGTCCACTTCCGGGACCCCATGGACTCTAGTCCTCCAGGCTCCTCTGTCCATGGAGTTTCCCAGGCTAGGATACTGGAGCAGATGCCATTTCCTACTCCAGGGACTCTTCCCAACCCAGGGACTGAGCCCACGTCTCTTGTGTCTCCTGCATTGGCTTTCATGACATTATTCAGATTCCTTGTGGGAATTAACACATGGAACAGTCAGAAAATTAGGGTTAAAGCAGATGAAGCAAAATATTAGATGTTTTGGGGTTCTCCAGAGAAAACCAATAGGATAGATAAGGGCTTCCCTGGTGACTCAGCAATAAAGAATCTAGCTGCAATGCAGGAGGTGTGGAGATGCAGGTTTAAACCCTGGGTCAGGAAGATCCCCTTGAGAAGGAAATGGCAACCCACTCCAGTATTTTTGCCTGGGAAATTACATGGAGAGAGGAGCCTGGCGGGCTACAGTTCATGGGGTTGCAAAGAGTCAGACACAGCTGAGCAACTAAACAACAACAGAATGATAGATTACAGGAATTGGGCTCCCAGGTGGTACAGTGGTAAAGAATCCGCCTGCCAATGCAGGAGATGCAAGATACGCAGCTTCAATCCCTGGGTTGGGAAGATCCCCTGGAGTAGGAAATACAGTATAAAAACTAATTTTCAGCAATACTCTTATATTATGTTATTCCCTGATCAAAGATTACTCACAGGTCCCCATTTCTTGTTAGTTTAAGGCAAAACTTTTCCTAATATCCCTGCCCAGTCTGCCCTCCCACCCCACTGTGCCACTCCCCTTGGCCTCACCATTTTAATCTAATTTCTCACCATTTTAATCTAATTTCCCACAACTTCCTCAAAATAAACAATCTGTACTCTAATCAGGACACAGTTAATTCATCTTCACTTCCATTCAACTGCCTTTACCATTCTTTAAGAGCCAACTGACAGAGAAAAAAATAAAATATTTATTCACGACTTATATATCTGGCACTTTACAAAAAATATTGCTAATCTAACAGCAAACCTGTTTTTACAGATGGGAAAACTGAGACTCAAGATCCAAAGATCATACAACTAGCAATAAACTGTCTGCAATTCATACCACCTCTTATTTCAGCACCTTACCTATACCAGTGTAATTTAGCACATTATTGTATACCATTTTGTTTCCTAACTGTATCCTTGCCTTCCTCATCTCAGTGGTAAGCACACAAGGACAATATAGTATTTTTCCAGCACCAAGCATGCAGTAGTGCTAAATGAATACTTGCTGACTGATTTTATATATGTCCACATATAGTGACACCCAGTACTGGAGTGTTAGACTATTTCAGGAGCCTTAGGACAGAGTATGTTAGAGCCAGAAAACCATATTTGAGTGATGAAAATAGAGCTGTAACTGACTGTTGAGCTTTGCTGTTACTCCTGTCTCTTAATTTATCTTCTGTAGAAAATATGCTTAGAGAATTCATAGCATTACATGAGCCTTTGGGACTCTAGGCCATGGAAAGTTCAGCTGTTATTCTAGAAGTATGGCAGATATTGTTCTAAAAAACAGGCTCACAACTCTTTATCTGAGAGCTTTGAGAACACATATGTTTCACAAATCAGATTTTTTATATCTTAGCAAATATATGTTTATGCTATATATTTCATCATCCCCTCTACAGGGTCCGAGTCAGCACCCATCATCAGACACATCGCTGCTTCCCATGAAGTGGAATCAAGATCACATTCTTGAGTTAGGGTTTGCCACCAAATAATTTACTGCAAACTTCTGGGAAAATTTTTGGTTTTTAAAGCTTTTTAGATTTCACAGTTGTGGATAAGAGATTCTGAATGTGTCATTGAGATGTACTGACTCATTTAATCTCTCAATAATTTGTGATACTGTTATTTTGGAGAGGAAGAAACTGAACCACGGAAAGGTTGTATAAGGTTTCCAAGGTCACATGACTAGGAAGCGCAGAGCCAGCACTGGGACCTAGACTGTGGGACTCCAGAACCTGTGCTTCCCTGTGAGTACTGCCTTCCCAGAGGACTTTGCAAATCACACCAGCCTAAGTCTCACTACAGGTTATGTGACCTTGAACAATTCCCTAGCACACTGGATACCAGTTTCCTCCACTGTTGGCTGTGAATGAAATGTCAGTGTCAGCTGGAGACTCTCATCCCAGCACAGCTAGACCATATGGTCTTGAAGTCCCATTCCTGATTTGCCCAAAGCCTGCTCCAAGATTTCTGCAAGTTTCTAGAAGCATATATTCTCATTGTTACAGTTGGCTTCTGCTAAATCAATTCACATTATGAATCATCTCAGCATCTTGGTTTTGTAAAGGATGATGTGGACTCATAGGTGAAACTCAGCCCTTCCTCTCAAGAAGACAAATATGTTCAGATTGGTTGATATTTCTCTCTTTCTCAAAAGTCTTTTAGACCTCCCCACAATTCCACATTGCCCTGGCTTCTTCCTGCCTTCTCTTTCCCCTCTCTCATTTCCCTGCCTCTTACCTCACTTCTCTCCCTCTTCCTTTTCACAGCAAAACCAAATTCCTTTTTATTATTCCTTCCAGCATTCAGTAATTATTTTGTGGCCTGAGCTTTTGCTACTTATGCCTTCGAAGTCCCATCTCCTCCCAGTGAATTATTCAAATATTTCCTCATACAAAGGCAGTTCCTTTTCTGAGAGTGCCTTTGCTTTTGCCATCCTGTGATGTCCAAACTAAATGTCACCTCCTCCCTTCTGCACCCAGCCATATTGATAGACTCTCCTCCCCACTTCCCAACCCACAGTCAGTGGCATTTGTGTTTCTGGCTTAGCTACTCAAATTTAATTGCTTGGTATGCAAATATCATAGCTACTCTAAAGCTGAAACTTCTCTTACTTTCACTGCCTAGTATCAGGTTTTATTTTTAGTAGACTTTCAATAACTCCTAGAATAAATCTGACAGTGTACCAAAAACTAGGACACAACTAATACATTCACTCAGTGACCACACAATTTATAGGAACTGAAGTTTGTAACACTTGTCTTCATATTACTGTGAGTGAAGGAAACTACTGGGGCTAAGATTTCAAAGACAACTGTAGTCAAGAAAATAAATCAGATAGCCAGGGGAAATTCATTATATAAATCCTCACCCACAGTGAAAGGTAATTCAGCCTTGACCAAAAGACATAAATAGCTCAACCTTGATTATAAATTTATACCCAACCATAAATGGGAATCTGAGAGGTATCTTTACAACTTAGGGTCAGTGATGCTGAATAAATGAAAATGTTAGTCACTCAGTCATGTTTGACTCTTTGCAGTCCCATGAACTGTAGCCTGCCAGGCTCCTCTGTCCTGGCAAGAACACTGGAGTGGGTAGTGACTTCCTTCTCCAGTGGATTTTTCCAACACCAGGATCAAACCCATGTCTCCTGCATTGCAAGCAGATTCTTTACTGTCTGAGCCACTAGAGAAGCTGAATAAGCTCTAGATAAAAAATTTGTGGCAGGGAAGCTTTGTCACATCAAGTGTTACCAGCATTTAGGACAGTTTAGCATATCAACTACTTGCTGATTGAGTAGATGAATGCAAAAAGAAATCTAAAAGGTCTATAGTGCTGGTGGCAGAGGTACTGAACACAGCCTGTTTCCTTGCCCTTACCTTCCTCCCTGACCGTGTGTCCATTATAGGAGAAAAAGACCTAAATTCTAATCTCTCAGCTTTACCCTAAACCCCTAAATGTATAACTGTCTCAAGTAATTTAATTTCTCTAGACTCGGTTTTATCATCTGTAAAATGAGAGCCTTGGATTAAATAACCTCTAAGTAGGTTTGAATTGTTTATATGAACATAGTAATTGTTTTTAGAAAAGTAATACAGCCACATGGAAAGTTTGAAACACTCAAACGCTGTAGAAGCACGTAAGTAAACATCTTCCCTGTGTCCCATTCCCAAGTCTTTTTCCTCAGAAGTCCCTTTGAATTAATTCTGTCTTATTCCTCTAAATCATATGTTTATGCCTCTACTTCCTAATTTATCTACTCTTAAGTAATATTTGGAAAACTTTGTCTTCAAGACAAAGAATTTAGTTTACCACCTTCTTCTATTTTTGTTATAGGTAGGAATATTTTAATGATTAAATCCATTCCCCTTGTTATTTTAATAGACTTAAAGCACTTTCTTTTTTTTTCAAAGCACTACTTCTTAATCTATCAATTTCAAGTAGTAGCCTGACTCCCCATTAAGTAAGTTACTGTTTTCTTTGCTTTCCTCCACGTCTTCTCCCCCTTGAATTTCTCAGCTCCTCTCAGTTAAAACATTACTTTTTTTTCACCAAAATCATTACTTTTATATTGTCCAAAGTTATAATTAAATTCTCTCTTGTAACTATGGTTGTCTTTAATGCTTTTATAGGTTAATTCTGAAAATCAGAAGCCAACAAGCATGTGAATATTACTTCCTGAAAAACTACATGGTATGCTTGGATGTGCAGAGGAAGATGCAGTCCTGTGTCGCCAAACCTGTGCCATTTGTTGAGGAGTGTTCCAAGCCATCAACGTCACAGTGATTGCTTTATTACACTCCATATGTTGCCTGGAATCGTTTTACAATGTAGCTTGCTTCACATTATGAATAGCCTTCATTTCTAAATACCCTCAAACTTGAAATCTAGCTTGATAGTTCTCAAACTTGGCTGGAGCGTGGCCTGAGCATCCTGGGTGTTTTAATTTTGCCAGGTTAGTCCAATGAGTAACCAACACTGAGGAACCTGACGCTAATGGCAGTCAGGTCTGTAGAGTCAAAGGTAATGAAATGTATCAAGTCCTTTGGAAGCAAGAGCACAAAGTAAAACCTGATACAAACAGAAGGTTTGTAGAACATTTTATTTCTTTTTTTGGTTGCAGCTGTCTCCTTCATAACCCACCACTGCTAAGACTGTTTAATAAGATGTGCTTCTCTGCACTTGGCTTGGGAGGTATTTCATCTGGTGATCTGGATGGAGAGCTGGTTCTGCTTTAAAGTCTGTTCTTTTCTGAGATAGACACTTTGGGGTGTGGGGAACTAGAAGTGTTGTAAGGAAACCACTGGGTGAGATTCCATCAGATCCCTGATACTCAGACTCATGTTTCCATAACTGATTTTTTTCCACATGTGTCTAAGAATTTAACATGTGTTGTGTCTCCAGTAGTTTCCAACCTAATTTCATCTGATTTCCAGGGTCAGTCGGAAAGTCGTTTCCTTTCAGCCCTCCTACCAAGACACCTAGAGCGCCAGAGCCAAGCTGGTGAGCCTTGGGTTCTAGTAGGTATAGCTGGCAGTGAAGAGCGACTGGGTGGAAGTGGAGCCAGAAGAACCCGTGTGAACATACTGTCCTTTGGCTGCCTGGCTGTTAGCCTGAAACACAAGTGTGAGAGAGGAGACCAAGTTAGAGCAAGCTGAGCTTGACCCTTCTTGCTTCTCATTTGAAACCAGCTATACCTTCATGTAGATTTTTCTTCCATGCAGTGGTTTTGCTAAATATTGCTGCTGATACCATTCCTTTTCTTTTATGCTGATACCTTACTTCCTTTTTAAAATCCCAGTTTTCTGAGCATTTCTCAGGCAAGCCTGAACTCTGTGTAACTAAGAAGGTTTCTTTTTAGTACCAGCAATACTGCAACAACCGTCCTAGAAATTAAAGCTGAGAAACTTCTCACTCGTACAGTGATAAGGAAATGGAAATCTCAGTTTCAATTTGGGAACCTTGGAATAGTTGTTGAGTAGTCTGCTAGGAAACTGACCAAACATATTGCCAAACATCAGGCAAGTGTAGCTGAAGCTTCACTATAGCAAAAAGAAAAAAAGAAAAGTTTTATTAAGTTTTACATTTTCTGCATGTATTTGTCCATAAGAATACATACTTTTTATGTAGTTGTTATTGTAATATCATTGGATACCCTGTGTAAATCCCAATTAAAGTTGACTTCAGAATTATGAAACCTGTCATAACACTCAAATGCCACTTAACAGTACCTGTCTTCAAGTCACTGTTGCCATTTTCTGATCTCTCCAGGACTTATTTCTACATCTACAATGATTTTTGAAGTTAGGTTTCATGGGCCTAATTAAGCACTTGTTAGAAATGGAAAGTCTCCAGCTTGACCCCAGACCTTCTGAATCAGAAACTCAGTGGCTGGGTTCAGCCACCTGCATTTTAACACACCCTTCAGGTGATTTAGATGCATGCTCAAGCTTGAGAACCACTGTTCTAGATGAGAAGCTTAGCATCCCTTCTTTTGTGTAGATTACTTGCATAATCCCTTCATCATATTTGTTGTATCTTCCCACCTCATCAGCCACACACCAGCAGAGCCACACCCATCATCATCAAAAGGTAAAGCTGCTGCTGCTGCTGCTAAGTCGCTTCAATCATGTCACACTCTGTGCGACCCCATAGACCGCAGCCCACCAGACTCCCCCGTCCCTGGGATTCTCCAGGCAAGAACAGTGGAGTGGGTAAAAGGTAAAGCACCACCTCTAAAATCTCACACCTCTCTTACACCTCTGAGATGATGCTTTTAGCTTCTCTGTAGCCTTCCTTTCCTTTAGCGCCTTATCATCAAACTTTTTGCTACGCCTGATTCTTTGCCCAGGCTCCCCTCTCATCATCAGCAGCAAGCTGGATAAGGCTATCACTCAAATTTGTTCCATCTCCCTGTTAAACTCTGATTCTTCAACCCTGCTCGTTCCCATTTAGCCTCATCTGAATCATCCTACATGCTTAAGAGAGCTGTCAGGAACATTTGGGATCTAATTTAATGTACCAAACAAATTCATTTCAACTGCATCTTGCTTGATGCTTGGCCATAACCTCTGGTCAATTTCCTAGCAACCACTTCAACAACTATTCCAAGTTCCGCACTGTGAAGACCAAAATCTCCATTCCCTTATCACTCTCAACAGATGCTGTCACCTGTAATCAGTGATCAACAACTGCATCTCTCCACCTCTACAGACTTGCTTCCAAACTCATTCTGTTTTTTTGCTATCTCTTCCCTCCTTTCTAAGACCAACTCTGCCTCCTGTATTTAACATTTTGTCTCATGTAGCACTGTTTCCTCTAAGTCTCTGTCCTTTCCTGATCTTTAATCTCTCCTTTGGATCCTTCTGCTTTACATTGAAACATTCCAAGCTCTTTCCTAATTGGCTAAACTCTAAGTCCCCTGAAGGCACTGGCGGTGTCTGCTTTGTTCACCCCGATCCTTGGTTCATAGACACTCAAAAAGGAATGTTAGTAGTTGAATAAGACCCTTCTTTGTCCTTGTTGTTCCTGGTAAACTTTCTGTGTCTTCTCCTGACAAGCATCTTGAATGGGTACCTTTTCTTTATTGAGCCCATTTTGTTGAGGGTCATTCATATGTCCTTCAATGCCAGTATGTCCAAAGTCTTTTCCCACCTTTATTTTTACCCTCTTTGTAGGGTGCTGTTAGTGACCCCTTGAAACTTTGTTCTGTTTGTTCCTAGAATCCTTAGTTCATCTTAATACATACTATCTGCTTGTCTTGGTGGCTTCTCCTCTTCATCTTCCCAAACGAAAACTATCCCATGTTATTCCTTGGCCCTCTCACTGTCCCTCTAAAGTGTCTCTGTGGAAACTGTCCTTCAATCTGCTAACATCAATTATACTCCCTGTGTGGAGAGTTCAAAACTCTCTCCAGCCTTGACTTTCCTACTAACCTCTAATGCCACAATTTCAAATGCCTGGTAGACACTCTCTTGAGTCCATCATGGCCTGAAGAAAGCAATGAGAGCCAGGTCCCAAGTATCCACTTGATTAAGTACATAAGAAGCAGTGTCTTACCAGGGCCCGCTTCATAAAGGCCTCCTGCGTTGCCTTCTTGTTTTCAGCCTTGCCACCCCATGCAGCCAGTGCACTGGCCTGCAGGGCCCGTCCGTAAGAGAAACTTAGCTTCCAGGGCTTTGGTAGAGGGCAGAGGTTGATAGCATTGAGGTTGAGAGTAGCATCCTCTTCACTCATGCCACCAGACAAAAAGCAGATGCCTGGAAGGAGAGAAGCCATTCCACTCCACTAATCCTGGCTGGGTACCCTGCTTGAGAAAGCAAGCAAGCAAGGAACCTAAAAGAAATGTCATGTCTCAATCTTTTCCCCACTTGATTTGCACGGGACTAGGTTGGAGAGATTAGCTTGCCTTTGCTGAGGCTAGCTGGGCTGAGGAGAGAAGGGATTTAGTAAATAAGAGGGCAGTGAAATGTTGAGGAAATCAATGGATTGTATGTATTTTGATGGACTCGGGATAGGTGGCATCATGGAGTTTGAGGGGGAAGTGTTGGCTACCTGTGAGATAGCAGAAATCTGCTTCACGGCTGGAAGGAGAGTCCTGGACACATGCAGATGCTTCTGGCACTCCTTCAAAGAAGGAGGACTAAGACCTCAAGTTAGAGAAGAAAGAAAATCTTACCAGGAACAGCTGCAGGAACAGTACGGTGGAGAGCTGTAACCGTGGCCATCGCCACCTGCTCTGGAGCATACTTCTTGGTGCAGGCATGTCCAGCAGTCACCATGTTGGGCTTCAACAGGGTGCCCTCCAAGTAAACGTGATGGTCATTCAAGGCCTTGTAGACAGCAGCCAGGACCTGACGGACAAAAGATCCACACAGGTGAAACCCAGAGTCAGCCGTAGAGGCACCTGACCATGGCGCTTCCACCCTGCAGGGAAGGAGGATGAAGGAATTCCCACACATTGCTTGGCTGAAGCTTCCCAACCAGCCCTTAGGCTCAGTCAGGGTGATGCCTGCAAACCACAGCCAAGCCAGCCTGGCCCTGCTGCCCCTCCCCTAACTGCTCACTGCAGGGGCTACTGGATGGCTCTGCTTCCCAGAGGCCCCTCACTCCTTCCTTCCCATTACTCCCTTTGGTCAATTGAGTCTGCCGTGATTTAATTTGCTGGGGACATCCAAATCAGCCTCCATTCTCTATCCCCATAGAAGCTGAGTGATCATAAAAATATGAATTTTAGAGACAGGAGTGCTTTCAGAGCTCATTTCAGTCCACCTTATTTTGCAAGTGGAGAAACTGAGGACTCTCTTGCTTTCTTACAGATGTACGAATTTAGAAATTCGTATGTGTGCCATGCTTTTTGTCTGGTGGCATTCATAGAATGTGGCGAATTTAGAAAGTCATATGTGAAAAAATCACCTTCTAATTACATTTTCTCATGGAAGCCTCATCTTATTTTAAAATTTCTTAAACATAATGGAAATGAGGCCCCCAAAGATAATATGACTTGCCCCAGGTCCCACAACTGGGAACATGGGTGCTTAAACCCTAGTGTTGATAGTGCAGATCTTGTGCTTCTTTACAAGGAGTATACCATGTGTCCCCGAAGTGAAACGTTTGATAATACCTCCTTACCTTCTCAAAACTACATAATGATTCTAACTGTAGAATATTTCACCTGTAACAGCTGATATATAACAACTGTCACTTAAAAACAGATTTTGTAACCGGCATTGGAACCTTTATGTTTAAGACTTACCTTCTCAGTAACATACTGGCAGTGTTCCATGTCATGGCTGCCATCAGGAATTACCTCCGGTTCAACAATGGGCACCAGACCATTCTAAAGAGAAAGTGGAGGGGACAGAATGAAGCTCTGTTCACTGGGATCTTTTCCTTAAGATAGTTAACATTCCAACTGGTACAGGGTGAAGCCCTTATGGAAAAATATCATATAAATGACTTAAAGTCAATGAAAATAAATTTAATGGGATATGTAGTGAGCATCTGTGGTTTAGCCAAAAAAGAACAGTGAGGGGGGAAGAAAGTTTTCCTGGAAATGGGGTACAGTAAATACAAACTCTATTTCTGTATCTCATTCTAGAGACTATTCTACTACCTCAGAACCTATATGTCATCCTTTCAGGGCAGGCAAGCTTAAATCACCAGTAAAGGTGGCTCTCGTATGGTTTAATTAAGGAATTCAAGCAATGTTTTCAGTTCTGATTGGGAAGCTCCAAGTGCCCACAATTCTGGTAATCCCAGTACTGTACCCACACAAGCAAATCAGACTTAAGTTGGATCCCAGAGGCACTTCGCAACAGGTTGGAAACTTTAGCATCAAGCTACCATCCTCCAACAAATTATTTGAATTAGAACCAGATCAAGGCTGTCACCCTTGAGCTCGGGATTAAGAGGATCATGTCCTTGGCCACAGTGGGGCATAAACATGCGAATGCCCTGACCTCAAGAGATGATTGCCATCAAGACTCAGCTTACAGTGCTTTGGTAGAAGGCCAAACTTGATGATGTTTGCCTTTTGGATTCATAGCTGACTTATGGAACCAAATCTTACTCTACCACACCTAGTATAAGTATTAAAAAAAAATGCCATCAGGATATAGTGGTGAGAGAAAAGGAAGGATCATGTATGGTTACAGTAAAATTAGACAGTTGGACTTTGAAGAAAACTCTCGCCTACTGTATTTGAGGCCAAGGGTAAGGACGAGCACCTGCTGACAGATGCTGGCATAGCGGGCGAGGGTGTTGGCGTTTTCCTGGATAGCGAGATGGGATGGACACTGGTTGTCAATCTTCAGCACAGCACGCCACTTCCCAAAGTCAGCACCATCTTTCTTATACTGAGCACAGCGTTCAGAAAGGCCATCAAGCCCTGCAAGTCATGAGAGAGAAGGGCTTCTTTGCATCCCTGACTGCTACTGATAAAGTGAAGGAGTTGCCCTCTTGCTTAGCTTTCAGTCACAGAGCTTGAGGTCCCAAAACATCCAGCAAAGAAACAAACATTCCAGTACTAAGTCAAAAGATCTGTGTTTAATAAATTTAATTTTGATATACATATTATATACTCTATAAGACGAGTAAAGGAAACTAATATTTTAGTACTTACTGTGTTCCAAGGCATGATTAAAAATATTTTGCACATCTTATTTCATTTAATAATCATAACAACTCTAATAGTTGTTATACTGTTATAGCCATATAACTCATAGTTGTATATTCATTTTACAGATTCAAAAACTGAGGCTCTGAGAGGTAAGGTAACTTCAAGTTTGAATAGCTAAAGAGAGACAGAGCTGAGATTTAGCCTGCTTAGCTAACCCAATGCTATGGTTTACACCTATCTCTTGGGCAGTAATAAACCTTGCAAAATTAGCTAGTGAGTGATGGAAGCAGCATCCAGACACAAGTGTGTCTGATCCCATAGCTTGGGATCTTTCCTCTTTACTGATGCTAGATTTTTCTAAAATAATATTCCCAAGTATAAAGTATCTTCTCTGTCCAGGGCACTGTGATAAGCATTTTATGTGCAGTGTCTACTTTAATCCCCACAACTATTCTGCAAAGTAAATATTGCTATCCCACTTTAATGGAGACTCAGAATATTTAAGTGACTAGCCTGAGGGCATACAGTTATTAAGTAGAGTAGCTAGGGCTGAAGAACGGGTGTGTGGCTCTAAAACTTGTGTGATATTCACAGTTTGTTTCCCTCCATCACTTCTTCGCTTGTCTTCATTTCTGGTATATACTGGCATGATTCATATCAGTGGGCAAAATCCTCACCTTGAACGGTGGTTTCTTTGTTTGTTCCTGCAAGCGGAGCAACTCCTTGGTCTAACTGTGAATATAAATAATCAACAATTAGCAGGTGTCAGGTGTCCCTGGAAAATACAAGCAAAGCCCTGGTGCTAAATGGTAGTTCTCATCTTTCACAAACCAAGGAGTTGAACTAGGAAGGTACGTCAGTCACTGAGGGGACACGATTCAGCCCACAGTAGAAGTGAAGTTACCTGGAAAGAACAGTCTAAGAGTATCAACCCTAAGAGGATGGAAAGTATGGGAAGCACAGGCCTGAGCTTGAGAAGCAAGAAGTAATCTGATAGCAGCTGAGATGAAGCGGTGCCTGTATAAGAGCCACTTCCTTTAAATGATTCACTCATTTACTCAAGAGACATTTATCGAGCACGGCGCATATCAAGCCCTATGCTATTATAGGAGCTGAGAGAAATAGGGATGCAGCCTCCACTGTCAACATAACAGAGGCTAAGGTCATGAGCCCAAGAGGCAGCAGTCTGGGTTTGAAGTGGCTCCAATTTTGCCTTGCTGTGGACAAGTTATACTACTCCCTGTAATTCTGTTTTCTTGCCTCATCTATAAAATAGGGATAATAATTGAGTCTATCTCTAGAGGTTGTGAGGAGGAGTAAATGAGCGCCTGGGGTTGTAAGCACTCAACAAATACGAATGATCACTCTTGAGAAGTTCATGACGTTTTGGAAGACCTAGTTACAGTAGAACAGTAAGTGTTTTAGTGGTAATAACTATCATGAACTAAATAGTAATGGTGTGACAGGCACTGTTTTACAAGCTCACTTTATTTTTATAAGAACTTTGTGAGGAAGGTACTATTATTCCCATTTTAGAAATAAGAAAGTGGAGACACAAAGAGATTAAGTTCTTTGTAGGAAAATGGTTGAAAGAAGAAGGTACTGGAAAGGTCTAGAAGAGGATCTGTTTCTCAGTGGGATGGTGAGGATGGGAAGGAGTGAGAAGAGCAATTAGATGATGAGAGTGCTCCTCGTGTTGGCCCTGTCCCAGCCTCTGTGTTGTGAGTGTGGCTGAGGTGAGATGGGAGCGAGATGTATTCACCTTGATTCCCACCACGATCCCTTTTTCCTTGAGGATGTCTCTGAACAGCTTTCCCTGGCCGTCCTTCTGGTAGAGGGTCTCATGGAAGAGGATCACACCCCCGATGCTCTGGCTGACGGAGCTGTCCACAGTGAAGAGGAGTTCGCGGAACTGCCGGCGGTTCTCTTCCGTGTTCTCCACCTTGATCCTTTGCAGGCGATTCCCCATGGTGCCTACGTGGGCGGGTGAAGGCAGCATAAGGAGCAGGCTGGTGCTTCCCTGCCAAACCCCTCCATACCAACCACTGATCCCCACCAGGATGGGCAGCAATGCTCTTTTTCATTCAGATCTTCAGAGCTCCTGACAATCTCATGGACAGAGGAGCCTGGTGGACTGCAGTCCATGGGGTCCCAAAGAGTTGGGCATGACTGAGTGACTCAGAGCTCCTCTTTCTTTTTTTGTCTCCCCAGGAAAAGACTTAGCTGCTGGCGTGATGCTGGTGAGGAAGCACATGTGCTGGGCGTGTCACCAAGGTATATGCCACCACTGGGTACAAATGGGGCTGCAAGGCCCTCAGGCCTCTTTAGCTCCTCTGGTCCAGCCCTGATCTGACCGGATGTATAGACAGTGGAGGGAGGGGTTAGGCAGGCTCTTGACTCCTCTGACTCCTGTCATTTTATCGGGGGGCCGTCGAGGCCCTCCCTTGTGCCATCCTGAGCTGCTCTCAGCCACAAGCTCTGCCCCACTCCTGATGCTGACACTTTGCTGCTCTCACCGCTCATCCTTGGCTGGCTTTACACTGATTTCTCATCAGCGGCAGAGGCCTCATCCTGCTTACTGAGTTCCTGGCCTTGCTACAGCTTGGATGTAGGACTTGAGCCCGTTCACTTGGTTTTCAGAAATCTGCCTTCTGGGATGACAAGCACAAAGGTCTGTGCTTACTGAGTCTTCTGTTCCCCCTCCTGTGTACATAAGCCTTTATTTCCTCTGAGAGGAGAGAGCATATGATCAAGCTGCCTTTGCTAAGTGGAGAATCAGGACTGTGTTTGTAGTGTGTTGTTTCCTACACTCACCTACGGACTCATCTGCAGCCAGGATCCCCTTCCCATTGGCAACAATGCGCCGGGCAGTTTCTGCGAGTGCCTTCTTCTGTTCTGAAGTGAGGGCTGGAAACTGGTGGGCCATGGTGACAGGTCTGGAAAAGAGTGTAGGGCAGTTAGTTGTGAATAGAACTGTGGGTCTTTCACATGGATTCATGCCCAAGACAGCAGGCGTGCAGAAAAGCCCCATAGGCCCCTCTGACATTTCTGGCCCATTTCTACAACTGGCTAAACAAATAAGGTCTGTTCTGTTTTGAAGCCTAAGTAGTTGCAATTAGCCATAATGGATGAAGGTGGAATGCCAAATGTCAGGGTGATCCTAAACAGAAAGTCTTTCAGGAAATCACTGGGATGACTGATCTTAAAACTCAACCAACTAGTGAGTGATCTGCTCAAATCTAACAAACAGGGGTCATGGCAGTAACTGATTGTCTCTCTATTCTCTGGATTCCTGGTGCCATCAGGGGCCCTGGCTGACTTTGAGGCCAGGATGGTGAAGCTTTCTGCCTCTGTGGCCATTCCTCACTTACTCTGTTCCCCTGCAGTCCCACCAGAGTATTGTCTCGGCAGCAAGCTTGAGAGGAGAAATTGCCACTTGGCCTTGAATTTAACCTCCCTTCAGCTTTGGGACATAGAGGGTGGAGTGCGTCTCCTTTTTCTTATCTTCAACCACCTGTGAGACTATCTGGGGCAGACGGGGAGGATTTTTCCTAACCTCTGGGCTGGATGTTCCCATTAGCTCCAAGGATGCCAACATCATGTGATGATTCCTGCTGCAGTAATTCTCAGCTTCACTGCTTTGGCAAGGACAGACTCTGGCTCAAAAATCCCCTACTCAAGCAAATTCTCAGTCGTGGTCATTGGAAGGGGATCATTGCTCCTATTTGCTGCCACTTAGGGCTAGTCTTGAAAATGCAAACTCACAGGATTCTCATCTTGGATGTTAGAATAGGTTGAATTATCAAAGAAAAAAATGGTAGTGAAGATTACCCTGTGGTCTTCTCCTTCCCCAGTCTCCTGTCCCCTCATATACTCACACACAGGGTAGATGCCCTGTGCTTTCTACTTCCTGGAAACTAACGGACCCCTCAGTTCTCATTCCATCCATTCAACAATGAGACAACAAGGACAAGTATTATCTTCATTAATTAATGAACAAGCTAAGACTCGGAGAAGCTAACTGACTTGTCCAAGGTCCCACGTGGGATGAGGCAGAGTCCCCTACCCAGTTGTCCTTCTCATGGCAAATCGATCTTGATATTTTGTGTCTGTTCAAAGCAAGCTGTCAGTATTCTATCCCTTGACAGAGAAGTCAGTGGTTACTGAACTAATTCCTGACAAGGTATGACTGATGCCACTCACTGTGGCTACTCTCACTTCAACACTTAACCCCAAGAATAGAACCACGATGCTGTCCCTGGGGTACCAGGACAGGTTAGTGGGCAATGATCGCAGAGAAGATAATTTTCCAATGCCCTTTACATCTCAGCCACCCAAAGATGGTGCTCCCCCTGTTTGTATATTAGTTCCTACATTGCAGTCAGGGACTGTTAGCTTTGGACCTGATCTCCAGATCTTCATGTCAAATTTAAGCCAACCTGAGGTTGCTGAACTTCAAGCCAAAGTACAAATTTTCTCTCTCAGTTTAGATTTCTCCTCTAAAGTTTTCCCCTGTCATGAAAGAGTTGAAAAATACCAAAAAATAATGTTTCCTTAATAAAACAAAAGAAAAACATAGCCCAATAATAGCAAATGCTATTTATTGCCAGGCACTCTGCTAATTGCTTTACATGCACTATAAAGTGCACTCCTCACAATAATCTCAAGGGGAGCCAGGCTTCCCCCTTTTCCGCACCCTCTGCCTTATAATAGATAAGGAAACAATGTAAGATAGTTTAATTATTTGTCCAAGGACAAATCGCTAATGAGGCACATGTTGGGATAAGGAGGAATACTCCTTCTTCCACGTAAACAGTGAGACTGAAGAAAGGAACTGGCCTTTGGGTGACTCTAATGTCCTTGGTGATTCCCCCCAGAGTACCGAAAATCCTTGAGCTATGTGTCACTAACCCCACACCACATTACCAATTCATAAATATCTGACACGTTTACACAGTAGATCAGACAGACCTGGGTTCAAGGACCAGCTCTGCCTCCTTCTCACTAGGACCATGGGCAAATCGATAACTTCTCTGAGTCTTAGCTTACTGTGGGTTAAATGGCTGTAATGTCTGTTCTGGTTGTCTCACTGCCAGATGGATCACTGTGACCTGTGAGCAACCTGCTCATTGTAGTTGCTAGAATGTATTTCTGGAATCACATAATAAACATGAGGATGCTTTTTATAAGGCTTTATGAAAATGTCTGGAATCAGTATGTCTCACTTTTTTCATTAAAAAAGTAATTCCCTGAGGGACGTCCATATTTCTGTTTACTACCTAGTGATTTTCTTCAGTCTGAGTGTGCTGACTCAACTAGGAAAAAAAAAACAGAGAAAAGGTCAAATCGAACCAATACTGTTTATGAGAAGTTAAACTTCTACAGAGGGATTAAAGTTCTGTACCACATCAGCACAAATATTGCTTCTCTGTTAATCATAAAACAGGGTCACAGGCTAATGTTCACCACTGGATGAGAGGAGGCCAGCTGGAAGTGGGTAATGATACAGAATGATTTTTCTGCTTACTGGGGTCTCATGCCAACTTTTTATTTTATTTTTTTTATGCCAACTTTTTAAAAAGTGTGATAGGAAGTTGTTTACATTATATGATTAAGAAAAAATAAAAGCAAGTTTCAGAAAAGTATGCAATACATAATGTCAGTCTTTTTTAAATTAAACAAAAATGGTATGCACACATACTGTTTATGGGTCTATATAAGCAGAGAATAAGCACACTGAGCTTACTCCTGGGGAATGAAATAGGGTGGGGTGACTCTCATAGTTCACTTTATGGGTTTTTTTTAATGTTTTATTTCTCAGTGAATAAGTTTATATATTACATTATTTACTAAACATAATATATTAACAGGTATAAGTGAAAGTGTTACTTGCTCAGTCATGTCTGACTTTTAGTGAACCCATGGGCTGTACCTCTGTCTGTGGAATTCTTCATGCAGGAATACTATAGTGGGTTGCCATTCCCTTCTCTAGGGGATCTTCCTGACCCAGGGATCAAACCCCGGGTCTCCTGCATTGCAGGCAGGCTCTTTACCATCTGAGCCACCAGGGAAACCCCATATTATCAGGTAACACATGTGCAAATCTGGGAGAAGGTTACGAGCACAAACACACATGAATAGAAGGTGACTACAGAAAACAGAGCTACAAGTGAACTCAGAGGTATCTGTATCAACCTTGCTAACTTTAGAGATGAGGAAATTCAGACCCAGGAAGAATGTGTCTGATACCACTTCTAAGTTGTGATGTTTTAGGACTGTAATTCACATTCTACTGGCTTATGACTTAGAATTCTTTTTCCAATCCTTCTTCAGCAGAATAACAGATGAAACCCTATAGTATAGTTTTTTCTGCCTTCTTTAAAGAGACTCTCTGAAAATATAATAACGTGTAAAATATCAATATTTAACTCCTGGAGAATATAAGGGTGTAGAGAATTCATTTGCTTCTCCATGTACAAGGCAGGTGGATTTTCAAGAAGACATGAGAGGCTTGTTCACTGGAAGCCCATGATTGTCAGGCACTGCATGTAGCACTTTCACATACAGATGCAGGAACATGCCCACAGCTTTGTTATGTATCTGATTCCCTGGTGACAACTCCAGTGAGATGCGCTAAAGCAGCCTGATCCCTGGTGCCTTTGAACACCTGTAGAGCAGCTCAAAGAGACCCGAGTGTTGCTCTTTCCTCTAAACTGGCACCTAAACCAAAGGAACCCTAGATTTACAGCAACTACACTCTGTTCCCTAACCCAGCACCTCAGATCCAGCCTGGGCCTGGATTGTCTGCAGATGAACCTTGCTTCAAGTGATGGTGGCAGCAGATCAGGAGCCCCTGCTGGACCCACATCAGCTAAAGAAACTCTAGGTACCTATAATCTCCTAGACCCAGGGATGGAACCTGGGTCTCCTGCATTGTATGCAGATTCTTTACCATCGGAGTGACCAGGAAAGCCCCAACTCTTTAAAGAGAAGTTTATTTTAAAAGGCAACATATCCTCACAACATGCCTAGTCTTCAGATAGTAGAGCAAATGTGGCAAGACACATCAACAGCTTTCAATTTTAAATATCTTAAGCTGTAGGGCTTTCACAGATTTTCTGTAGTAGGAAGTGCTATAGGAAGTATCCACTAAGGGAAATGCCTGAAGATTCATAATCAAAGGACGACTATGCTCTGTGATGCCTGGTCCGTTTTCTCGTTTGAGCCGTGGGTGCAGACGAAGGGAAAAACAAGCCAAGGGTTCATCTCTATGACAAAGAAACTTCAGTGCAAGTACTAAGAGGTGTGGGAAGAGAATGTAGAAAATGACACAGGGAGATAGATATGTAAATAAGTCATCGGAATAAGCAGTTGTTAAGCAGGGAGCAGAAATGAGCAGGCATTTCAAAAACTAAGTAGAATCTAACCAAATAGGACTATTCACACTGTTTTCCCTAAGCCAAAGACTCAAAAGAGCCCTTTTATAGGGACTGCTGGTAACTCAATCGGTCTGGATCTACCAGGATGGGTAGAGAGGAAAACAATCATTTCAACAGATCACCATGCTTTCAGCCACCATCACACTTTTCCTGAAAACAAAAGCCAACATACGTTCCTGTCTGTGCTTAATACTATCACTAACCTCTGACTCCCTGGTATTCTCCAGGTAGACAAAGGAGGTTCTTTACTTACAGTTTGAGAGAGGCGAGTCCTCTTAGATCTATCAGAAGCTGTGGATGAGGCAGCAGCTGCCAAATAGGATGAACCTTCGGCAACACCCAGTTTTTATAGACTTCTCACCCAAGTTGGTTTGCTTTTTTTTCCTGTCTAACTTTTACCCTCTCCTTCCCACCTTGGCCTGGTAGAGAGGTGTTTAACCAATAACTCTGATTGGCTCATAAACGGCCAATCCTTCTAATCCTGCTC